CCTGGCATGACTGAACCTTTAGGAACTGAGTACAATCCAGTATAGCCCGAAGGATCATTGCAGTACAGAAGCCCGACCGCCACACCGGACATCAACTTGTACGTATATTCTTTTCAATCCAATCGGTGCTGACGGAGACTCACGTGAAATTCACCCAAACCTCTCATTTTTCACCCGTAGAAACAAACTAAGTTCTTGTCATTCCCCTTCTTCTCATTCTTTACTACGATGTTCTTTACTCACGGTTGAATGGTAGCTACGCACCAATGTCAATCACCGTCATCGTTGGTGATGAGTTGGGCCCCTGTGATAAGATGACTTGAGAAAGTACCGACATCATATGACCCTCAACAGGGTGGCGAGATGGCTCAAGTGGTTAGAGCGCGATTTCATCGACCGGAAGGTCTATGGTTCGAACATAATCTCTGACTCTCAACTTCCCCTGTCTAGGCGTGGGCAACCTGACAATATCCAAGTCCTCGTACTTCGGGTGGCATGGCAGCTAGGCGCTGAAAGGGTGTTACAGCTGAACGATTTTCTTCAACAGGTTGGCCATTTCGCCCAACCACTACACACCAACAGAGCACGATGGGATGGAAATTCGTGAGAAAACAACGGAAAGCTGAATGGAGGATGAACTAGAAAAGCGTCGATGAATTAGTCCGAAAAAATCAGTGGTTGAGGCAGTGACTTTGAGTAGGACAGGCCGCAGCAGACCCCATGAAAAAGGAAGTGGGAAAGAAGCCTTTGGCAACCTTACAGTATCTTGGCCTTGGTGCTTTCTTGGGTGGTACGGCAGCTAGTCATCGAAAGCGTCCCAGCTGACCTATTTATACATATGAACGAATACGTGTCTGCGCCTTCAGTGTACGGGAACCAACCGCGGAGACACTTTTTGGACCCAGTGTCAAATTTACACTCCGCCGCAACATCACACAAGATCCGTTCAGTGGTGTCCAACGATTGGCATTTACTGGAACATCCTTTTTTCATGGCTAGTTACACGATACGTCAAACTGGTTAGGTCGAAATCGGTGCTTTTTTTCCGAATTGATCGACCGAGTGAGTGAAATGTTATCAGACACTGGATGGGTTGTTTGACTGGTTACCTAGTAAATCCAGCCCGCGAAAGGCCATAAGGGGTAGGTAGTTGTTCTGGATCGGAAAGCTGATTTCTACTCTGTCGACTGCGATGTCTTTCAGTGTATGCCCGTTAAATTCTTGTGTCTAACTTAGGCACGGGGAAGGTCAGTTCTTGTGGACGAGTACGAGCCTATGGCGAGCCCTCGCCCGAGGTCACCAAGTTCATTGAGGTCAAACAAGGCCTCCTTCTGCAGTTTGCCTCTTGAGAGTCCTTTTTGACCGCGCAGGATCAAGTGAGGGACACGATCACATCACACATGCACACGAAACAAAACGTACGCGCAAACTGAAACGTTAGACGACCATGAGTTTTCAATGGTCTGTCTCGCGGTCACCACAGGTCACATAAAAAAATCGATAGAAAAAAAGCAAAGCACACATGAGATATGCACCAGTCAGGGCAAAGTTCATATAGCACAAACATAACTTGGCTATGTGGGACACGTGGCCTTATGTGTGCTGTCGTCAGACGAGGGGCCAACTCACCTGGAGAGCTTGAAGTAAGTTCTTCCGTGCACAAAGTTAAGCTGTGAAAACGTCGATGCTAGTGATAAATAACAGTACCAAAAAGGAGAAACGGGTGCTTCACCACCGTACAACTATGTCAATTTATTTGATGTGGCGGTAGCTTTTGAAATCCAAAGATTAATCGTAGTCCGTCCGCCTAGGACTGGTTTTGTGATTCTTGTGTGAGATCCGAGATCATCATCATCATCATCATCATTGTGAGCTGTAAGAACCGCGTACTCGTCGTACACTGGTTGTAGCTGCCACAGTTTCGTTCACCGATGACTGGGGGGGGGGTAGATAGTTGCACACTGCAGGCGTTAGATGATAAATTGGTGCATAAACCCAGCACTGTCAAGTGGGGGGATTTAAAATGGAGCTATGCTGAGATGACATGTTTTGAGCACGACACGTCTTGAATCAAATAGGCGCGCTAAGTAGAACTCCTACCCTCTGCGATCAACCACCTTAGATGGTGTTCTCTGATCTGTTTGGGCAAGTTGCGGGTGGTACAATCAATGTAAGTGGCCTAGACACTTGAAGAGTGACAAACAACCATCACAGAGGTTGGCACTGACAGTTTTTCTAGTCTTTTAAAAGTAGACGAGGTGCATGCAGCGTCACTGAACGTGGATCATACGGTTGCCGAAAGATTTATGGGTAAAATGTAGACTGTCGGGTTTCCAGTGGAAGAAAACACGAAGGAAAGTTTTCATGAAGGAAACTACTCACAAGGTTTATTCGTAATACACTACTCATAAGGTTTCTGAAAATTCGTCGACAGCCCACGACCGGTTCCATCCTTCTTGGGGCTCATCAGGCAGGCGCAGTCCCCGTCAACTTTATGTTTTAATTGAAACCAAATTGGACTGATTTCGGCAAATACACTCATTTGCAAATCAACTTGGTTTTCACGAGAGACAACTGAATCTCTCGTTCTTCAACTGAATGTGCTGAAAACTCTTGTTCAGCACGTTCAGTTGAAGAACATCGCAGAGAGTGAAAACCAAATTGATTTGCAACTGAGTGTATTTGTCAAGAAGGAAAGTTATTCGCGTTCTTGTTTCAGTTTTGTCCTGTATATTGCGAGGGATAAAAGGAAGCAGGGAGTCGTGTCACCAAACTGTTTCGAAACAAGACCTGATTCGCGTTCCCAAGTGTGGCGGACGCGTATTTTTCGAGCCAACGAACACGGTTCCCGCTCTGCTACAAAGGGAAACTTGTATACTGTCCAATTTGCACCTAAAGGAGTGTCGATCTCTAGGTACCTATGTATTAGTTCGCCACACGCGGGAAAAATCTCGACATGTACGTTCCTTGACCGTTTGAACAATGTTCTATTCCTAAAGAGCAACGTGGATTCCGGAGAGACAGAACAGACATGACAAACCTCTTTGTGGCGCATCAGGTGAGAAGAACGCCGAGAAAACGATTAACTCTTGTTCGCCTTGATTGTGGATTTCCCGAAAGCCCTTGATTTGGTCAACGGAGAAGGGGACAGTAGAATCGTCCCCAAAAAACGCCAAAGATATGAAACCCACTCACTCCAGTATGAAGGACCGAGAACGTACTCTCCCGAGGTCGAAAGTGAAGCACATCGGTGTTCTGGCTCCTACCCTGCTCACTCTTTAACTGACTACAATTTGTGAGGAAACGATGTGGGAGCACAAAGTTAGCGCATCGATTCGGTACCCGCTAGGGGACCAACTCGAAAAACTCACCACCGAGAACGAAGCTAAACAAGTGAGGGTGACTGCCAGCCCGTCCGGAGATCTAATCAAACAGGCTAACCATGTATTTGCGTTTGTTTTGGTCTAAACGATTGTCCTGAGTTGACAAAGCGGACGCCCCTCACTCAAACTGATCTTCGCTAGCTCCGTAGTCGATACTGAAGTGCTCATAGCGAGATGGTCCAAGTGGTTAGAGCGGGAATTTACTGACCGCAAGGTCCGTGGTTCGAACCCGACTTCTGCCTCTAGACTTCTCCTATCTAGGCTTGGGCAACCTGNTCCGATGACTGTGTGAAAACGGTTCAGAAATCAGTCTTTTCACTAGTTTCGAGGCAGAGCAAAGAAGTCAAACGAGTATTTGCCTTCACCATGAATATCATATTAGGAGAACCAGCTCCGAACGTAACGGGAATACATAACAGCCAATGGAATAACCGTTTTCCATTGAGAGAGATTTTATTGGTTGTTCTTCACTCGCCCTTGACAGATGCGTTGTATTCTCAGTACCACTTTTTTTGGACCGCTTGTACGCGACAGTGATCAACAGAGCAGCTGGCTTGCACGTTCATTGACTTTATCTGGTTTGACCAAGCGCACCAGACGATCAAGCTGCTGTACAGACCGAGCTTCACACTAATAAGAAGGCATCAAGCTACTGTGGTTCACAGCATTTGTCAAAATAAAGGTTGCCTATACATACGCGATTGGGGCAACCGAAATCTGCCTTGGTACTGAGACTACCGTTTACCGTCTTCGAATGCAGCGGTCAGGTCAACAGAATTGGGTTCAGCTACACTGACTAGGTCATGTGAAGCGGAAAACCAATAACCGCCTTCGAAAAAACTCATCGACAATAGGCCAAAGAATGGAACTCCAAATCGGAGGTACCTGAAATTTCGCCTGAAAAACCCTCATCTTGGTTTCAGATAAAATAAACTCTTAGCGGAGAGACCTGATGAACTGTTACGTTCACACAGGCTTGACAAAATGTGAGGCACAGCACACCTAAACGCTCGAACAAGAACATACACTCGAAAAAGCCGTTCTACATAATAGTGATGGTTTGCCGCCTGGCTACCCATCCCCACATAAATGGCGCGGTAATCGACAGGTCTTAGATGACGTTCACTTATCTGAGGAAAGTGCAGTGTCCCGCCGCAACTTGAAGACATAACGCCAGCGACTTGAACCAGCTGGTCCTCAGGCCAGCTGCTGGCCCGCCGACCATCAGCTGATTGCACGAAGCGCCAGAGTGCAGTACGTGGTCCGATGTTTGCTTGGACTCACAAGTCAAAGTTGCATTGTCCGCAATGACAACTCAGCCCCCAAGTTGAAAGGGTTAAAATGACGGCAGTTGTCCTCCACCTCTTCCGCGAGAATTTTCCGATCAAAAGGTATCAGACCGACAAGTATTTAGGGAATGTTTCGAGAGTACAACGGGAAGGTCAGTTCCAAATTACGAAGAGAAACAAAAGAAATGAAAAATAGGAAAGAATGAGTTCGTAAGGCAGTATGATGTATGATTCAATTGATATTCTGTGTCTAAAAGGCATATTAAAAACCGACCCGTCAGCTTTTACATCATGAATTCCACTTGACTCGAGGTAGGAGGAGACTTACCCCAGTTCTTTGAATCCTCGGAAAAATTCCTCTCGAGTGAATTCACCTTGAGTCTTTGCTCCGAATTTCCAGGCCAAAATCAAGGTGGTCATACTCGCCGGATCGATTCCAAGGTCGTTGGCAATAAACTGCTCCATACCGGTGGCCAGGATGCGGTCTTGACACTGCGGGTCTGATCAAGATGGGAGCGTGGAAGACATGAGTAAAACAGACAGACAGGTTGTGAGACTCGAGTAAGATTCGTTCATCAATACACGAACCCTATTCAGGAGCGAGATGGATCAAGTGGTTAGAGCGCGAATTTATTGACCGGAAGGTCCGTGGTTCGAACCCGACTTCTGCCTTTCGACTTCCCCACTCTGGGCTTGGGCAACCTGACAGTATCCCAGTCCTCGTGCTTCCTTCGGGTGGCATGGCAGCTAGGCACCGAATGGGTGTTACAGCTGAACGATTCAGGAGCTTATCCAAATCAGCGGCCCAGCCTAATTTTAGGAGCAACTTGTTACAGTGAGAACACCTAGGCGAGTAACTGCAAATGGAATCAGGTGAACAGCCCTCAAATTCAGAAGATATCGCTGAATGTTCAACGTTCGTACTGTGGTAATACACTCGGACAGGTAAAGAAAAATCGTCCAGATGTAGCACCCTTTCGATGCCTAGCTGCCATGCCACATAAAGGAAGAACGAGAGCTGAAATACTGCTCGGTTGCCCAAGCCTATACAGGGGGAGTAGAGAAGCATAGGTAGGGTTCGAACCACGGACCCTCCGGTCAGTAAATTCGCGCTGTAAATTTAAAGAAGTCAGTTGGGGCCTTCTATGATTGAGCACCTACCTAATTTAGCTTATCGAAGCTCGAAATAGATCAGTAGTTGAGGCAGACCGCAAGTTCGAACATTAGCCTTGCTCTTGGATTGCTCCTGTACAGACTTCGGCAGTCTGGCTGTACCTCAGACTCTGTGCCTCCGAGTTGTACACCAATGACGTGGCGAAAGAGCGTCACGGCAGAACTATCAGTTTTTATTCCATCCGTTTTACTCTGACATACAATATCCCGAAGGGAACGGGAAGTTTAGGTTCTGAATGTGACTGATAGGCCTGACACAAGCAGTTGTAGCTAGGGCTCATAGGAGCAGCGAAAAACGTGGGGTATCGGGCGATATCAGTTGCCGTTCGATGTTGATTTGTTCAACGGATCGTACCTAGTGTCCCTTCCTAGCACATCGTAGAGATGGGCCACGCAGAACGGTCGTGCGCTTCGCCCATTGGATGGACATGTGGAGGAGGCACGCTCTGATTGGTCAAAATACCGACCAATCAGTATCAAGCCCGGCCTCAGAGACTGACGGAATTTTGTGCATGTTCTGTGACCCGTTCTATGAATATGACTGTGGTAGTCCGTAGTTTATTTGAGTGCTCCAGTTATCGTTCCTTTTGATTTAAACTGGCGGGCGGAACAGGCCATGGACCAGAGTTGGGTAACCTCGATACACATCACTTGGGTTGAGGACAAACAACAATGAAGTTTCTCGAACTTCATTCCACGCAATTGTTAGCTTTGCAAATACTGCTGTCTGAAACGTTGATAGCAAGCCACAGTCGGACCAATTGGAATACTAATCAAGTCGATTAGATGTCTGTCTAGGAGAACAGCTACAGACTGGAAGGTGTATTTGAATCGGGCGAAATTGCTTCTTGCCTGGTTTCAGAGAGAATGACACGGTGTTCTTAACTTTGTGTCGCGATCCCCTAGCTACGTCGCCAACTGATGAAATTAGTCAAACTCTTGGATTCTGGTCCGATTGGCGGTATGAATGTAAAGGTTTACTAATTCCAAATTCTGCTGATTTTTTAGTCATCTGCGTGAGTGAACTTCATCAAAAAGCGCATACTACTGTCCAATTCACGCACGTAGACATCCAACCTGTTCAATGCTGCCCGACGCCCTGCACCTGCGGACTTCGAGGCAATATGTGGAATCTGAGCTAACGAGTGAAGCACCAATCTTTGCTGCGTTGAGCTGGTCCAAGTGGCTAAGCGCGAATTTTACTGACCGGAAAGTCCGTGGTTCGAACCCAAACTCTGCCTCTCGACTTCCCCTGTCTAGGCTTGGGCAACCTGGCAGTATCCCGTGCAACCTTCGGGTGGCATGGCAGCTAGGCACCGAAAGGGTGTTACAACTGGACGATTATTATTATTTCGCTGCGTATTTTATTTTTCGCGCTCCTATTTTAACCATTAGATATATACTGACCTGATGACGAGATCCTGAAGAAATTAGTGTTCGTTACTGTGTTTTTTTTTCAAAGCATGGAGATATTTAAAAGTATACCTGTCAAATCAAACTTGGAAAACGGTCTCGATCGATTCTACTGAGCTCACCCGTTTTCGTTAGTCTTATCAAGTAACGAAGTGGTTAAGAACCATTGTTTACTTAGTTCGAACTGATCAAGTAGTGTTGATGTGACAAATGTAGCCAGGACGAAGATCCTGATGTTTGTGAGTGATTTTTGTTAAAAACAACCAGATGTGTCAGCGTTGAACGGACTGTGGGGCTTAGTTTGTTATCCGTTACTGGTGTCGCACATCCAATCTCACACAAATACATCCAAGTATACTGTAGCGAAAGCGTGAACGTGATGAACTGGGTACGTTCAACATCACGACAGAGTTAACCAGTTTTAGTGAAGGAAACCGCGTACGATGGACGCGCGCCGGCGACTCAGTTTGTGTAGATGACGGGTGGCCTATTCATCGGGCTGGGCAGTTTGGTTGCGCACTTATTCTGTGGCTCACGCTTGCAAGTAAAATGCATAGTCCAGAGGATTAACTACGTACTGAAGGGTCAAACCAACAGTTCTATCATGTGCTCTACGAAAGAAATGAAGAAAGCTGACTGGAACGTTCGTGACTCCAGTTGCATTTTCAAATGTTCCTGGTTGTGCTTCAGCCACACCAAATGCACGTTCGTGACGTCCTGGAGAGCTTACGATGGAAGGACGCACCTCAGGCCGTCGCTTGGGACTGATTTTGCACTGGGGTGGGGGGGGGGGCAGTATCTTCCTCCGGGTTTTTCAACGGACATAGGTTAGACAACCTGGTTCTTTAGGTTCGGGGAATTAACTTCTAAGAGGTAGACCGGTCATGCAGGCAAACACTGCTGGCTAGGACTGTTCAGGCCTGGGTACCCCAGTAGTCGCCCAGCTATGATACAACCATACCTTCCGCCAATAACAGCAATTTCAGGCCATATTGGCTGGCGAGATGGTCCAAGTGGTTAGAGCGCGAAATTACTGACCGGAAGGCCCGTGGTTCGAACCCGACCTCTGCCTCTCGACTTCCCCTGTCTAGGCTTGGGCAACCTGGCAGTATCTCAGCCCTCGTGCAACCTTCGGGTGGCACGGCAGCTAGGCACTGAAGGGGTGCTGAAGCTGAACGATTGATTTTTTCATTGATTATTATATTGGCTGACATGAGTCGGCATGAAACAGGACAGACAAAAAATCTGCTACCGCTGACGCCTCTGGTCTTTCCTGATCAGAGTCCCACTCCACCCAATCACTACTCTTCTGGATGACGCTTTGGTGCTAGCAACCACTGTTGGTCCATTGCTGTTTGATGAAGACGATAACGATGTACCGAAGTGCTGTAGGTTTCTGTAAGACCACTGGCCTCTGTTTTTACGTGACCAGATGAGTCATGTCCGAAATTCTGGCTTACCGGGAATTCGCCACATCTGATAAAAATCAATCAGTCAATTTATCATCTATAAACCATGTAACATAGGGACATCAGTTCCAGTTGCCACAGGTTCAATCACCGAAAAGTGGGGGAGTGTGGGACATACAGCCAAATCTTGGAGGCGATGGCAAGTTCACTTTGTTCGGAAATTTGGTAGCTACGCATTGAAGGCGATAGCTTTGATGCACGAGCGCAACTGACTGCGCGATTGGGCCATTTTCGCGAGTGTCATTAACCTTTGGCGAGTTGAGTCCCGTGGTCCCCATCCAGGCAAGCGGTAGTCGTTGAACCGACTAAGTTAAAATAATACATTGTTTAGCTGTTTCAATTTATCATCTATAAACCATGTAACATAGGCATATTGGTTCCAGTTGCTGCAGGTTCAATCACCGAAAAGTGGGGGAGTGTGGGACATACAGCCAAACCTTGGAGGCGATGGCAAGTTCAATTTGTTCAGAAATTGGGTAGCTACGCATTGGAGGCGATAGCTTTGATGCACGAGCGCAACTGATTGCGCGATTGGGCCATTTTCGCGAATGTCACCAACCATGGGTGAGTTGGATCCCGGGGTACCCATCCAGGCAAGCGGCATTCGTTGACCCGACTAAGTTAACCGATTAGTGTTCTCACACTTCGCTGCCAGGTCAATACCATTCGCTTCTGTAGCCGTTCAAATTTAGCTGGATTTGAAATTCCTAAGGTTCGTTTTTTAGGCACGAAATGCAAATTTAATTGTGAAAATCTGGTTGGAAGGACCTTTTATAGGCCACAGCACTTTTAAAGTACTTCACATGACTGAACTAGATGCTTTCGATCTACTTCAGAACTTCGATCACACATACTCAGCACTTTTAAAGTACTTCACATGACTGAGGTCGATGCTTTCGATCTGCTTCAGAACATCGATCACGCAGACGCCCAAGTAGATGAGTTCGAATATAGCCGATGAAACGAGCACTGAGAGGAACAGTTGGCTGTTACGTTTCCGTTTTAAGATCCAAGATTTTAGCCGAACATGTAAGGGGGCCCTTGCTACACAACTGTGACGTCGAAGTCTAAAGGGGAAAACCACCTCGAAAGAGGCTTTTCGGCACTGATGGAGCCCGTGCATGGAACTGAGTGATTTGTCGCATGAGTACAGTTACATGGCGCACCAAGCCTGTCCCTTCACGCACTGTCTCAAGCCGACCAAACCTCTGCAGACGGCCGGAGGGAGGACAGTCACCAATAAACAGCTATCACAAAAAAAACAACAGAAAAAAGCCTCATCTGTACCAATGGAAATTACGATCTCACAATCGATGGTTGAGCTGGCAACTTTCTCCCACAGATAACCTATTCTTTAGTCCCACACTTCGTTTGACGTGATTCTCTCTCAGAGAAGGGCCCGTACGACTTTTAGTATGTTTCGTTTTTCTGGACAGATTAGTTATGTTTTGTGGGCTGTAAGGACAATTTGAATCTTCAGATCAGAATTTCACCTGTGATGGAAGTCAAGTTATGCTGACACTCACTATGGGTTCTTGAGGGCCGGTGTCAAAGGATAAGGATGAAGCGTTCAGCTGTAGCACCCTTCCGATGCCTAACTGCCGTGCCACCCGAAGGAAGCAAGAGTGATGGGATACTGCCAAGTTGCCCAAGCCTAGACAGGGTAAATCGAGAGGCAGAGGTCGGGTTCGAACCACAGACCTCCCAGTCAGTAAATTCGCGCTCTAACCACTTGGGCCATCTCGCCTGGATGAACCGGCTGCACAGTACCTTTGAAGTTTTCAGCAAATGATTACCAGTCCCGCTCTTTCAATTTCAGTACATCAGGTAGGCGCAGTGCCTGAGTTTCCGCAAATTTTATGTTCTACTTCGACCCACAATGTACGCAACTCGCAAACTACATTCCTTTGCACACCAATTTGGTTTCAAAGGGAGATTCAACTGAAACCCAGCCGAACCTCTCGCTTACCATATACAACAGCACGAATGCCGCTTCCGGTTTCAAGTTGCGCGCTATTCCAGAAATTGCATCAAATTTTCTAGAGTGAAACTCCTCACAAGAAGGGCAAAAACAGCCGTGGGCTGTCGAAGAGTTTAGAGCAGCCTCAGCGCGATATCTCGAATATCGAATATTGTACAGGACATTCAGCTGAAGAATACTATAAACGAGAGATTCAGCTGAAAACAAATCGGTGTGGAAAGGAGTATAGTTAACGGATAACAAGCTTCAGTAGAATCTGTCCAAACACGATGAGCAAATCATGAAACGCGGTGAAACAAAACCCACACAAACTGCGAATTGTGGAATCCAACCGAAATGCTCATTAAGTCAGGCTGCACAGCAATCCTAACTCTATGCTCAGATAGTCGTATAGAAGTTGCGTCTACGGGACTCAACTTCAGCCCCCCCCCCTCCAAAGGCGATTTTGTTTCCACAACCAATCGAAAAAAACACTATTCTTGTTTACTTTCCTACGCGCTTACCTCGGTATCGTTGGAATAACTGTTCTATTCGGGCTTCGTTCACCGAAACGCCAGAATTGACTTGATTCTGTCGATAGAAATAGTCCACTGCCTGCTCCATCTTCCAGTTGTTGGTTTGAAGACAGTGGATTGCCACCTTTTCAGAGCATTGTGTGATCTCGTGGAAATTCCGCACACGTTCACGCTGAGCTGCGTTTAACTTGAACTGAAACAGTGAAAGAAACAGGGTTGAAAGAATACCAGACAGGGAACAGTGGATGGAATACTGACCGTGGAGTATTGGGGTCATGTGTAGAGTCGCTCCATCAAACCTGAGACAAAGCCCAGCTGCTCCGCAGTAGGGATGAAATGACGCAAAGACCGATAAGATGCCACGGTGTGCCAGGACCCGGTGAGAGGTGTGCGCTCGTTAAAACATCTGGTCACGTGTCTGTTAGAAAGTATCTAACACGTGTTTGGAACCAAACCCGAGAATGTTCGAGTCAGCTGATATTTATGTGCTTCTCGTCCTTGGTTTGTAGGTCCGCAGGCTTTGGAGAGTCGATTGGATAAGATTCAGATGGTATCATCGTATCTGGAACCTACTTGACGGAAATGTGTCTGCTGTGATAACAGTTACTCCTCTCAAAAGTTGACTATTTAAGTTCTCACTTTAGAATAGATCAAAAGGTTCTTGCTATCTAACTGTCCGCCGTACCGGAGCAATGGACTGATTGGGCCATCACCTCAAATGCGTAGTTGTCATTCCCCATGATCTCTATCCTCGATGAGCGAAACGGTAGTAGTTGGAACCATTGGATTGTGACATAGGGTTTATAAAAAAATCCCTCGTTAAGTCTATCCTCGATGAGCAAAACAGTTGGAACCACTGGATTGTGGCATGGGGTTTACAACCTGAGTAACCAGACTAAACTGGACGTTACTGGTATCCCAGTCACACCAAACTTGATGCGGTGTTCAGCTCTAACACCCTTCTGGTGCCTAGCAGGATACTCCAGCCATTTGAGCCATCTCGCCCCCATAGAGTTTATAACCTGAATAACTAGACTAAACTGGAATTTATTTGTATCCCAGTCACACCAAACTTGATGCGCTATGCGGCATTCTGCGACGAATCAGCCAGTCGGGGAGAATACATCCCTACTTCATAACACCGCCAATGCTTGGCGACGGTTGTTTGTACATCCCAACACAGTTAAGCACATCCTATCAGCAACCCGTAAAGCAGACAATTTACCGATAAACTGAGTACCTATACGATGACTTCGGAGCTTGTAAATGGATCGCACAGCTCCTCATAAATTGTCCTCGAGGTGTCAATCGAGAAGTTTGGGCTACGTCGGTGCCTGCTTGATTCCTCATGGCTGTGACCTCACTAAAGACTTTCTGAATCTTTGCTATGCTTATGTTGTTGCACGATCTTGGTACACTTCACCGCGAAAACAGGTGTGGTCAAACGTCACAAGTTGGAGAGGTCGGAGGATATGAGCGATATACAGGCTCAGAGGCCACTAGCAAAGCCGCACTGTGACTTGGAAAAACATCACCGCAAACTCTAAGCCGACCACAAACAGATTCTTAACGGCATAGACAATCTGTGGTTCGATACCGAGTTTTCACAGCAGCATTTAACAAAACAAATCGCTCAGCTGTAACAGTGTTTCGGTAGCTACCTACCATACCACGCGAGAAGCACCAGGATGGGATACTGCCAGGATGAGCAGTCCTAGACAGGGGAAATAGAAATGCAGAAGTCGGGTTCGAACCACGGACTTCCAGGTCAGTACATCCCCACTCTAACTATTGAGCCACTTTGCCCCAAAATAAATCGTTCAGTTGTAACATCCCCTCGGTGAGTAGCTTCCATGCCATCCGAAGGAAGCACAAGGGCTAGGATACTGCCAGGTTGCCCGAGCCTAGACAAGTGAGGTCGGGGTGGAACCACGAACCTTATGGTCAGTCAATTCACGTTCTAACCACTGGGCCATCTCGTCCAATCAGCACTTGCGAGTGACAGGACATCAATAAGGGTAACAATGGAGGCAGAGAGCTCCCCATTGTGCACCGAAGCAGGAGTTCTAACGTCGTTGCAGCAGATAAACACAAGGAAAGCGCCAGGCTCGGATGAAACTCACAAATCGTACATAACAGGATTGCTTTCATTTTAGTAGCTTCGCTTGACTTACTAGTCAAGTTGTGATTTCTGGAGGGGATTGGTCCTCAGGGGTGAAAAATTGCGGTCCCTAAGCTCCTTTCTAAACAGACTACATACATAACCTGCCAACTACAGACCAGTGGGTCTGACGTTGGCGATTGGAATATTCATGGAGAAGTGGGTAAAGAATGACAAGTATACGCCTTCAGAAGAATTGAGTCGCATCCAACGCAGAGCATGAGTCTATGTGGTCGCGCTCCTGCGTTAAGAATCCGTTTACATCATCATCATCATCATCGAAGCATGACATATCATCATCATCGACAGCATGACATCAGTGTTCAACACCGATGCTTCACTGCCGTAGTGTATGTGCAATTCATGGTTGTACGTGGGCCGGGATACTGCCAGGGCGCCCACACCTAGACAGGACCGTTTACAGCGTAGGTGCGCATTGTCTTTCAGCGGTAACATCCTTTCGGTGCCCAGCTGCCATGCCACCCAAAGGAAGCACGACGGTTGGTATACTGCCAGGTTTCCAAAGCCTATATAGGGGAGGTCGAGATACAAAGGTCGGGTTCGAACCACGGATCTTCCGGTCAGTGAATTCGCGCTCTACTCACTTGGGCCATTTTGCCCCGCATGTGGAGTGCGTGTCCTAACCAGCGAAACCTATGAGGCGGGAGTGATTAGCCTATCGCGGGAGAGTTCCTTCTCACTATGACTACCTGGCGTACCTCAGCATTACTTATCCGAAAGTCGAACACCGACATCTTTCGTATGTCTCCTGCCAGAACAGGCCAAGTCTCTGATAAAGCAATATGGATCGGACTGCCGCAGTGTAAACCCTACCATTGACAGACAAACTAACGTCACGTCGGCATCATAGTTGTCATAGGTTACCAAAAGCTGCCCTGGCTGTCCCGACTCCAGAAATAATCTCATCTCCAGCTAGTCCACCGGAACTTATACAACTACCTAGGTAAACAAATTTATCGACCAAGCCGATCGGGTCATCTGCAAGCATGAGGTTCGGGTTAGGTCCACCCAAGTCTGGTAGCGGCACTTTACATATGTAAAGCGCATGCCAAACCGTGCGGCAGAGTTATTGGGAAGGATCTGAACCAAGGAGAGTAATATCGTCCGCATACTCAATGTCTGTGAGGGAACGTCCCGAGGGCATTTAGACTCCCGAGGTTTAAGAGGTAGGCAGAGGAATTTCAAGCAGTACATCAATAACAAAAGTGAAGGGGAAAGATGGCAGCTTTGTCTAACACCACTGGACGTGGTGAACTCAAGCGAAAGGTTCCGGTATACTCGTACACGCTCACAAGTGTTCGCAAATACAGATATAAATTTGGAAAGGACTCCTATGATTGCCATACACTGACAAAGTTTCTGACGATCGACAGAGTCAAAAGCAGTTTCCAGATTTACAAACGACCGAGGGACGTTTGAAGGAGTGGCGCTGTTCAAGAACTTGTCTCAAAGGAAAAATATGATCTATGAATCCTCGGCCAGCTTAATTCTCATGAATCTGTTTCTCCCGATATTCGACCAACCTATGCACAATAATGCTGGACGGCACCTTAGTTGCGACGGATACCAGGCTGATGCTACGATGATTTTCGCATGACGTCCTTCCGAAAACTGGGATGACGGTCGAAAAGCTCCATTCGGCCCATATTCTGTTTTCGTTCCTAATCTTCTGTAGTATGGTTGTCAGACTGTTCTCCCGCTGGGTTTATGTTATTGACAGCGGGCTGGTGTCGATATTCCATTCAGGTCCGCTGGTTTCTCCCGGTTGTTGTGTGAAGGATACCTGTTTTTTTTCTAGGTGTTCAGCCCACCGCTCAAGACTACGATTGAGGGAGACAATTACCGTTCCGACCTCCACCATTAGACCGAATACTTCGAACAGCAGTTATCGTGGCTACCAGCTGTCACGCACCTGGAACCCTGGACAGTGAACGTGGAGCCCCCCAAGGTCTCGAAGGTTTAGGACCGCATCTTCTCTCAAGCGCAACCAACCTTCTGGTTTGGGTAATCTCCCACCCTCATTGTTCAAAGATGGGGTGGAATCCCCATTCAGCGCTTGTCTGATCTGTTTGCTGCATTTGGGAAAGATAAACTGTCCCAGATAATTAGGGAGAGTCGGTGCTAGTGCCCATTTTCAAAAAAGGGGTGGGTGTGGTAACCACAGGGGGATCAGCTTGACACGGGTGGTAACGACTGTTGGCGTTGCCTAATGGTGTCTCGTCGAAGGTTTAGGACCGCATCTTCTCTCAAGCGCAACCAACCTTCTGGTTTGGGTAATCTCCCACCCTCATTGTTCAAAGATGGGGTGGAATCCCCATTCAGCGCTTGTCTGATCTGTTTGCTGCATTTGGGAAAGATAAACTGTCCCAGATAATTAGGGAGAGTCGGTGCTAGTGCCCATTTTCAAGAAAGGGGTGGGTGTGGTAACCACAGGGGGATCAGCTTGACACGGGTGGTAACGACTGTTGGCGTCGCCTAATGGTGTCTCGTGGAAAATTCGAGAGCAGCAAGTAGGGATCCCACCTGGTAGGGGCTGCGTTGATCGAATCTCCACGCTTCGTCAGGTGCTACAACAAAGTCGAACGTAAGAACGACCCACAATTTTAGTATTCCTGGACTTCCAAGGGGCACTCGACTCGGTTGGCCGGTCTATTCTCCTTGACACCCTTGCCCATCAAGGAATGCCACGAAAGTTTGTGAACATAATAGTTCATTATATTTTCAGACTTCCAGATGTGTGAGAGTATACGGAAAGCTCTCCAAAAGCTTCCGTACACAAAACAGTGCCCGTCAGGGATGCCCACTCTCTTCATTCTTATTGAGTTTTGGGACCGATGAAATAACTAGGCAAACGCTGGAATTTCTTCAAAACCCTGTGATGAAAAACCTCATCGATCTGGAACGTTAAGACGGCACCGCTCTTGTCTTTGGAGGAGGAAAAGTTGCATGTGTTTTTGGATTAAGCTTCGTAAGACGACACAAAATAAGCGACCCTGTCTGGTTACAACGGA